TATATACATATAATTAATATTAATTTATTATACGTACCTATTTAATATATTGATGATGCCAAATATAAATATCTTTGGTATTTATTTTTATATGAACTAAAGAAATGATAAGAATTTTAATATATCGCGTCTAACTCATTTTAAAAAATCGATATAAAATAAGTTTATAAAATTTGTCATATATAATGGGTAAAATTATTATTATTTTTTTTTTACATTTATACTGTTTAGACTAGCAAGAAAATCATTTATATAAGGATAATTATAAATAATCATATATAAGTTTTTATAATATATGCATGCATTATTATATAAAGTAAAATGTATATCTTTCTCTAGAGTAGTTTCTTAAGAATATTTATGTGAATATTCTTTTGTGCACTATGAAATATTGTATTATATATTCTTTTTCTGTTTTATATGTGAAGAATATTGAAAACAAAAAATTGAGAAAGGCAAAGAGAAAAACGAAGATGTATCTTTGTACATCGGTTTATTATTATAGCGGTATTTTGACACTGGTTATTTTAAGAAAGATAATATTTAGCCTCTTCGTTATTTGTCTATCTGCTCTCGCTCTCTCTTTCTCACTCTCCCTCTCTCTCTCTCTCTCTCTTTCTCTCTCGCAAGATGTGATTCTCTCTTTCATTTTTGTATTTATTAAGAAGTCTTGACGGCTCACCAAGCTTAGTGGAATTAAGTATGGAAGCAATATTTCTGTACATCCCGTTTTTTTACTGCATTCGCGAATGGTTTTTCGGATTATCCTTCTTTCTTTTTCTTTCTCTCTTTCTCTTACACACTCGATTTTTCGTACATGCACACACTTTTCGATAAAAGTCTAATTTTATCGTTCAAGCATACTATTTGCCACCGCAAATTTTTCGCACTTTTTTTCCTCCTTTTTCCTACATTCTGCATTATTTTGGCGCTGTCCTACCTGTTTCTCTACCACGTCCACGTTTTTCTATCTTTTGCTAGCCTTATGCTCTCTTCCTACTTTTATTACACTCGCACTTTATTTCAGTCACAATATAGTCTTCTTAGGAATTGAGCGTACCGCGAAGAGTCAAACTCTCGAAACGCGGCATGTAACCATTATTATTGTCACTATGTCCAATTTATCGGTCTGATTTTAGACAAATAATTAAATCGGTAAGTCCGCTTACTCGTGAATATTGTCACTTGATTACGACACGTGTGCAATACCGAAGATGTCAGAAAATATTAAGCACTAATGTCGAGAATTTGGCGAATTTAGACTTCTCGTATATTATTTCATTTAGCTGTTTTCATTTGTGCGTTTCTTTTTACAATTGGCAATTTATTATCATGAAGGTCTCGCGCGGCATCGATCAACCGCGATGCACGATTCGAAATTGTGTCGAATTTTTCGCACGCAGTTTTTTCCCCGAGTTTTTAGTTTGTAGGATGCGTCCTGTATTTTTCGGCATGTGTTGCTCCGGATGTGTTTATATATGTCAAACTCTATATAAAATGGCGCGGTGATTCTCGTTCGTGCTTTTAACGTCTTGGTTACAATGCTTGACGTCTGCATCTCCGCTGTTGATGGAGTTTGAACAGTGTTATCGTCGGATAATTTTCACCGGATAGATTATACCGATATCGACATTGAAATGATTTTACAAAATTATTCATGATTTGCAAAGAACTCGATATGCCAGATACATGCGTGTGATTACAGAAACTGATTTTATAAGTAACACTATTTTCTATATGGATATTTTTCTCTGATTATGAATTTTAGATTCTCGGTAGTCTCTCGGCAATGTTATGCCTTTCTCTTATTATTTACAGAAGATTGAAATCATCGTTGAATAATTAATTATTTTTGCAAGGTATTGCCTCGTAATCCGCAACGTATTGGCGGTTTCCGAAGCGATACGGATTAGCTCGGAGTATCTCGTTCCCAACTTCGACGTTTAGTCGCCCGTCCTCTTCTCTGTGGTTTCCCCAGTCAGGAGGATGCTTCCAACTTTCTGATTAACACTTTAGTTATCGTGCTCGGCAGATCCATTTAGATCTCGTCACAATAACAAGATGCGCGCCTTTGATCAGCGATATATTGCGCTTGTTACTTGAAAATTTTTCTCAGACACACGTCGATCAGCCGTAATTTTCTTCGTGATTGTTGAGGCAACGTCGCCGACGCTTCTCGGTCGCGATTCTCGATGTCTAATTGCCTGTCTCTTTCGAACAGACGAACATATTCCGATTCGGGTCACCAAAGGTCCGCGGTAGGCGTGAGAGTGTGCACCTCGATGTTTTCGTGGCGATGATACCGATCCGTCCGATGCACGGTTGCTCTTCGCGAAAGGACGACGGTGAGCGCCGCGACAGCGCCGAGAGCCGCGCCGACCAACACCAACATTCCGGGATGAGCACCGGCGGATAGAGCTTCGGAGACTCTAGCGCCGGCTGAATCGGTCGCTCGGCTGTTCAATTTCTCCGCTATCGTTTTCGAATCGTCCGACACCGCGCTCTCCTTTGCCTTCTCGATCGTTTTTCCTTTCACGTGCGAAGTCGCCGACGAAAGAATCTCGCCGTCGCCTGACGCGGCAAGTTTGCTCGTTTCGTTTTTTCGCGTCTCGCCGTCGGCCCGATTATCGAAAGTTTGCGGAGGCGATTCCGCGTCTTCCATTCCTATAATGGATAGCTTGGGGTCGTGCGGTGCTCGAGAGGCCGACGGAATGACGGCGTTCTTGATTAAATTCTGATCCATCGAGATACGATTTGTTTTATCGCTCTTTCGACCCGGTTCCCTACTCGTTCGCGTCGTGATTGACGATGTTACGTTACGGAAGGACGTCGGTGCCTCGTAGATTCGCGATGGTTTTTTTTGTATTTTCGTCGTAATGGCGGTTTTCGCGGACGAGAAAACATTCGAATCAGCTACACCTTCGACTTTTGATTCGGTTCTCGCGTTTTTTTTAGAAAATAATGCCGGAGGATCCGTGATGTTGCGCTGAAAATTCGCACCTTCGATATTGGAAGACGATACTGTGACGTTTGGCTGATCAGTGAAGACGACAGATGCGGTAATCGAAATGCTCGTCGTTGCCGTCGTGATGGTTGCCGCGATCGTGGAAATGGAATTCGGCGGTGGTGGCAGCTCGTGCAAAAATAATCCCGCCAATTTCCGCGGACTGAAACATCGAGCCGGTTGGTTCGATTGTTGATTCGATTCGCGGTGCTGTCTAATCCATTCGCCCAACCAGTAGAGATCTCCCGTGCAATTCCAATTGTTTTTGCCGAGCTTAAGAACACGCAGCTGCGGCAGCATAAACGCGAGATCGGATCTAATGCTGCTGATGTTGGTCGCCGAAAGATTTAGCTCTATTAGGCTCTTACAGGCGGACAATGCAGCGTCATCCGCCAATAATTGTCCCGCAAGAACCGGACTACGCGACACGTCTAACATTATTAGTCTCTCCGGTGTCGGTACAGGGAACGCCATATCACTTTGTTCTTCCTGGTGTCGTTGAAGCGATGTTAGACCCGACATCCGGAGCTTGGCCAGATTACTCGGCCCACTTAGAGTATTAGTTGATAACGCTTTGATAGGATTATCGGATAGATCCAGTTCGGCGAGCAGAGGCAGTTGACCAAGTGCGCCTACTTCGATCTCGCTGATGTCATTATCGTTCAATGTCAGCGATCGTAGGTTGTACAATCCATTGAGATCGTCGAGCTTTAGCGCAGTTATCGCGTTTCGTTGAAGCTTAAGCATTATGAGACTGCTTGGCAAACTTCCTGGTATTTTCGAAAGTGCGTTTCCAGACAGATCGAGCTCTTCTAAAACCTCCAGCCGCCCTAAAGCGTCGTTCTCGATATCCGTCAGACGATTATCGGCGATATCTAACATACGTAGCAGGGGATAACTGTCCAAGTCGCCGCTGCGGATAGTAGTCAGTTTGTTACCAGCAAGTCTGAGCGCCCTGACTGATCTCGTTAAAGCGGCTGGAACTCTCGCCAATCCAGTTCGAGATGCGTCTACCGTCTCTAATCTTCTTCCGGTACCCAATAATAGAGATACATCTCTCTCTTTTAGCGGATTTTCCGCGAGTCTCAAAACAGAAAGCCCCGATAATGGTTGCAACGTTCCTGAGGCCGCTCTGGCCAATCCATTTCTCGAAACGTCGAGTTCTCTCAATCTGTCGAGACTTTCGAACCACCTGGCGCCTAAAACTTGTAATTGGTTGCCGCTCAGATCGAGTTTCTGCAAGGAATATAACGGCGTAAGCGCGCTATCCGGCAAGTCTGCCAACCTGTTGTCCGATAGATCGAGAAATTCCAATCGATCTAAACCGCAAAACGCCTTCTCGTCCACTATGCCGATCGCGTTTTTACGTAAGCTCAAACGCATGAGTCCGGTGAGCGTCCTAAAAGAACCGACACTAATGTCCGACAACGAGTTATCCGATAAATCGAGGCATGTCAGCTCACTTAGATTCACCGCGTGAATCATTAGCATGTCCTTTACTTGCGGCAAATTGTTGCACGACAGATTCAGCGACCTCAAACGCTCGAAACCGCGCCACGACGTGTTTAACGATACCAACGAACAATTTGTCACCGCGAATTCGATTAAATACGGCAGCGCTTCTGCCGTTACGTCCGCTAGTTTCTCCGACGACGTATCGTTCGTCCCCGACGTGTCGTTCATCTTGAGATTATTATCCGGGATATCGATCATCCCGAGATTTTTCACTAGATCGGCGGTCTCGAGCTCGTCCAAGAGAACAGCGATGTCCGTTCTCTCGGCGCTGTTCACCGAGAAACTTCTCACTCCCACGGGTATTTCCGATAGACCGGGTACGCGTCCACGACACGTCACGTCTAACAAAATCGGCGCGAAGTCGTTTTTCTCGACACCATTCTGGTGATGACACTCGCAAAGGTCCGGACAGGCGGAACCGCTCGCCATCAAGGCGAGCAGTACTAACGGAAGCCACATCGCTTCCAAGGCGACGTCTTCACATCTCGTCCGCTGTCCGGTGGGATCTCGCGACGCCGCTCGTCTGCTCGCGGGCAAAGTGACGAGACAACGACGATATCGGGAATCGCGACAACGCGTGCCGCGAGTTCATCTACGGGGCGGAATTGACGTTGCACGATCGACGATGCTATCGACGATGATGGATGCCGCCAAAAGCGTTATATATAGATTATATATATATATGTGTATATATATATACGAATGCCAATACCGGCGAGTACTATCGGTCTCATCGAACGTGATGTCCATACGAAGGACTGACAAACACTGCGGCGCTCGCGCGACTCGTAGCTGCACCCGCCACCCTCCGCGCGTCGTTCCTTTCCTCCCCTCCTCTCTACCCTACGTTTCATCTTCCTACCTACCCTTCCGCTGGTTTCTCTCCCTCTTGCACCCTCATCTCGATCCCCTCTATCTTCCGACACTCGGCTGTGTGCCGCCACCTACAACCATTTCACCCTCTTCTGCCGCACGTATATTCCGTTTCTCTCTCTCTCTCTCTCCCTCCCCCCCCATATATATATATATATATATATATATATACACATATATATATCAGACCTGTATACAGGTATATAACTGCCACTACTACTACCATCACTGTCCTCGCCACCACTACCGGCAGCCGTCGCTTTTGCTCTCGAACTCGATAAGAGGCGCGAGCGCGCTTGCGTCCTCTGACAGCGTACTGACGCGTAAAGCCGGTATTCTACGATTTCACCAACAGTCCTTGCTACCGGCCGTCTCACTAACTACTGCCTAGCAAAGCTTTTATTTTTTTTATAATCTTGCTCTTTGTTAAATCTGAATTTGTTTTTTATCTATTATCATTTTTTATATTGCAATTATTTCGCACATATTGCTCTTAATATACTTTTTGACGAAGTCAGAAATACATAAAAGACAAATGTTCTTGCTGAAGAAGCAGTTTCTCCTCTTTCTTTATGACTTTTTTTGCGCGATAAAATTTTTTACCGTTCTCTATATATATTTGTGTTAGTCGATAGCGCATGATCGCTTGTCAGGTAATGACATAAAATAGTGCATATATCAGGGCTATAAAAAAATAATTGTTATCTCGTATAGAGTTTCGCTTGCTTGAACATTTAATGCAATTAGCGAAGTAGCCAGCGCATGTGGTTTACCATCATTCTTGGAACAACCACGAAGAGGTCACGTTCTCGGAAATATTATAGATACTCGTTAAGACAATAAGCACGCACTAAGTTACTAATCCAACTAAAACTTCGCCGGCAGTTTCATGAGTTTTAGTCGCTAGTCGGTTTTCTTAGATTCGATTCGCGTGCCGAGGTTACGGAGGCGCAAAGATGCAATTCTCACGAGATAAGGTGAAAGGTCAGATAATATCTCCTTGCACCTATCCTATACATGCCAAGTGCTATATTATTTTATTATGTTATATAATATGGTATTTATTTGTTATATTTTATCACATGAATTTTTTCATTTGTCAGATTAATTTATTTTGGCATTCCAAAGGATAGCAATCCAAGTTTTCTTTTTTGTTAACATTCTCGCAGAATGCGTAGCCATATTTTATCATCATCACTTTTTTTCAAATATTTCATTTCCGATATTTTTTTGAGCATTGATATTGCAGAACGACCTGATTACATCCGGTATTTTCAGTAAAAGAAGATTATGGATATATGTTCTTTTAAAATAGAAAGCTTATTTTAGTTTCTCTAAATTTTATCGTTAATTGAATCCACGTATCATGTTTTTATAAACGTTGGTTTTAGTTTATTTTACGTCTTCGTTAAGCTTGATTGTTGGGAGACTATTTTTATCAATATAGGTAACGTTGAAATTTATACAGGTATATTGTGGTTGTTGTTTTCTCGAAAATATTGTTTGTGTGAATTGCTAAATTTTTTCTCTTTGCGTCTAGGTGAGATTTTGTAACATAAAGTGAAGGAAGAGGGGAAGTTTGATTTATTCTTTGATTTATTCATAAATGCAATTCATCTTTTATAAAATAAGAATATATTATTTTTGTTTCTTTTTCCTGTTCACATTAAAACATATGATTGAGCTATTATTGAGTATTATTATTTTTGGATGTTCGTTATGAGTTAATTGTATGATTTGATTATCTTGACTAGTGTTTTATATAAAGAATAAAAAATTTTAAAAGTCTTGAAAACTTGAAAAAACACAAATTACTTGAGGTAAATTTACATCATTCTACTAACAATAGAAATATCAGAATAATGAAATTATATATGATACGTTTTATATATTTTAGTTGAATTTCAGAGAATTAAGGAAATATAAACTTTTAATATTATGTTTTTTGTGATAAAGTTTAGTAGAATATATACATAATATAAAGTTTGCATGTCCTCTTATAGTACACTTGTATGCTTTCTTTGTAAAATCGCAAATACATAATTCACTTATAGTGTGTATTCATAGATAGATTTTAAACCAAAATATCAGTCAATAAGAGTACTGTGCAAGTTTCTCATAAATATTTAAAATATTCGATAGAGTGTTCAAGGAAAAAAAGTTCCCAAGTTACCTTCAGGATATTTACGTACAATTCATCACCCGAGAAAGAATATTTTTCTTCTGCTTTGCTCGAGCACTTAATCCGCCATTAGTTTAGAGAAACACTTGTATAGTAAGTACTTAATTACTGCGAGTAGTGTACATGTAAAAAGTCGACCGTCGAAAATGCGAATGATTTTCAACAGTCGAGCATTCAAATTCAACGCATGCTTTCGCTCACCGCCATTGATCGTTATTTCGATGTCAATTTCTCACGCGCCTCACCTACTGAAAGATTGATAAAGACAATTTAAGAGTCCAGAGCATCCTTTTTCCCTCGGCATCAATGCCAAGAATTCGCGTTGATCTTGCGATACCCAAGGAAATAGAAAATTCCTGGTCTCAAAGTAGGACGCGGTTGGACGCGGGAACGAAAGGAACGAGGACGTGCTGGCGAACACGTCGAGGTCTCTTTTTTAGATAGGGTTTACCGTGGTGGCAGGAAGTCACGACGAAGGACGATAACGGGTAGACTCGTAAATGTTGACTCCCGTATAACGCATTCTTTATATCCGCTGTAGTTATTCGCGCTCGTACAATTTCTAGTGTCCTGCTCGAAACGAGCCGCTCGGCCGTTTTTAAGGGACTAGAAACGAAACCGAATGACTATTGTAATCTGCTATAGTGTGGAAGTAGATATATCGGTGTATCCTTCTTTAGAGCAGCCTCGCGATCTCGTTCGAACGAGATATGGCGCGCGCAGACCTTCCATCCTACCCAAGATGGAGTTTTAATGCATGTATTTTACAGGACAAGAAGTATAACTTTTACTATCTTGATGCACAAAGTCAAACAGCAAAAAGACAAATGGCAAGTCGCAATTTGCAAGCTAACCTTGTAAAATAAAACGTGTCTAACAATATTAGAATGCGACGACGATCATTATTTTGTACAATATATTTCGACATCGTCGAATTATTATTAAATTGGATAAACGTTGTTTACATTATGAAAACAGCTTACTATCTTAAAATTGAATTAGCAAATTAACCCTTTATTTTATGACAGACATTAGCTATAAGACTGATTTACAAAAACAATCGTTTAAAATATTAACTGTGCGAGATGATGTCTCAGGTATATGATATCTTGAATTTTTAATCAGTGTTACGACGTCTCTCATCCTGACGCTAGTAACTAGTAAATCGCAACATTAATAAATGTAACATTGTTACATGAACGCGAGTAAACGCGTGCGCAGATTTTAGCACGTACAATACGGGCGATTCGGAGTAGCCGGAACGCGAGACAGATACAAATGTGGCTGGAGATGAGTAAGAGAGAACGAAGGTGTCTAGGGGGTCATTTGATATCTCTAGATAAAATAGGACCAGCGGAATGGTCCAGAGATAAAGGCGAAGGTAAAAGGAAAACTGCGGGTCGCGTAGAGAAATGTGTGTCAGAAGGTATAGGGCTGTTCTTGCAGAGCTAAACGTGTACGCGCGTGTACAAGTTGAATCTTTCTTCTCTCTGTTTCACAAAGACATACTTAGTGTAAGAGATGCGCAGCATCTAGTTGCAGAAAGCCTGGAAAAGAGGTTATAAATGTGTGTTTATACATTTATTTAAAATAATGCAAATAATAAAGAATATTTTAAGATTAAACCGTATAACTTTCCTCGTGTATTAGATATATAAATCGAGCTTTATATTTGCATTGTCATATTGAACGTAAAGCGATATCAATACGAAATTCCAAAAATAAAATTTGTATACACGTTAAAATTATTTTCTGCGTTATGGCCTTATATTATACGGCTCTTTAAATATCTAAAATTATGAATATTTTATGTCGTATAATATTTATCTATATTACTTTCTTTTATTTTTATACTAGTTTTATATATTTATATAAAAATTACATGTTTTAGTTTATATAAAAACTATGTATTTAACAAATTACATTATATAAAATTACATTAATTATCCATGTACAGTTCTACTTGCATGCGAGTAATAATCATTAGCGCGTCTTTGTTATTTCTAGCCTCGAGACTTCTCTTTTCCTTCATTCACAAGCATTCGCTGTTTCCGGTATTTTACATTTTTGCGGCTCCCACAATCGCTAGCAGAATCTGTAGAATTGAGAGCACCGGGTGAATCATGCTATTGAATGCAGCGCTGCCGCTGGCATCGAATTCTCACGACAGGGTATTATTCCCATTTCGTATTGCCATGCCCATTTGCTGTGCGCCGAGGCATTTTCTTTTGGCTCTTTACATGGACGAATATTACGTCCAGTAAACTATAGAATAGACTTTAACGACGCTATTTTTCTCGCCCATGTATAAAATGTACTTAATTCTTTTTGATCGTTTTTAATACATGTATATGTACGCATTTCTGTCAAACATAAACTTTGTGCTACTTTTTCATTGATCAATATTCTTGAATTTAATAGATGATTTGTACAATAATAATTGTTATAAAGATAATAACAGTATGCTATTATAATATAATAAATATTTAAATTACAAACACAGAAAGAAAAGAAAAAAGAATGTTTGCAACAAAAAAATATATAACGACCAAAATACATAATTGCTGTACACTAAATTTCAGACAGGTGGAACGTTTTTGTGACATAAATCGACCATATATGATCTTTTTTTTGGAATATGAGAGCATAACTCGATATTCCGTAAAAAAAAAAACCATTTAGTTTTTGTTTTTACAGTTGTTTGTACAATTATTGAGTTAGAAGATATCATATCTCAATTAAATT